AGGCATTCTAAAATAAATGTTGTTGTATCATAGTATCTAACTCTTGTTTTAATTTGCATAGGTTTTATGACCATAAAGAGACAGAACACATTTTTCAAAATTTTGTCCATGACTAAACATCATTCTTTCTAAGTTGCTGCTTCAAGTTTCTCAGTGATATTCTCTTTTTATATTGTTTGTGTTTTTCTAATTGATTATAGAATTGCCTCTAAGACTCAAGGACCATTCATTCCAGGAGAGGGAGTGAAAGGGACTCAGGGTAGCATGTTTGGAAATAAAGCTGTTAAATGACAGTGTCTGATCCCCCCTCACATGTCTCACAGCCAGCGGAGAGATGATCTCTACCAGGTGGACTGAAACTCCAGTCAGTACCATCTTTGTAGGCATTGGGTCAAGACTTCCAGAGACTGACCTCATGGTTTATTTCCCTTACAATTTAAGCACAGTGAAACTTTGAGATGGGGTTTCCAAGTGACAATTATCACAACAAAGTTTTAGGTAGAAAACATACAAAACTCCCTAGCAATGCAGAAAGGCACCTGCGATTTTTACAACAAGAATGAGTTCTATTGCTGATAAACAGAGCTCAGGACCTAGAGAAGGAACTGTGATAAACATAAGGATGGATTCTATTGGAGGAAGATGCAAGGTACATGGGCCTCTTTCATAGGGATGGGTTCTATCTACTGAGAGACAAAGCCCAGGATTAGGGCCAAACAATTCTCAGGATATTGGGAGAGGTGGTTCAGGTGTAGGCTGGCTCTTCATAGAAGAACAAAATAATTTGGAAGAATTGTTACATGACTATTTGAAAGGTTAGCAATGCTACTTATGTAAATAGAGAAATAATGGATGACTTTTCATTTCTTACTAACTCACAGCTGCCTCTTCTCCACAATGAATCTGTAAAGAACGGATGATGGTGACATGAACATGACTATGTTAAAGACCCAATGTCCCAGACCAATGACAACAGCAAAGTCTTTCCTGGTGAGGCTTGGGTGGATGGCACAGCTGTTCCAAGTGTGAATGTTGACATTGTGCAAAACTAGCAACCATAGCTGCTTCTCCTGGGTGGCTGCAACATAAGCCTGCTTGCCTACAGAAACTGACCGCTCTACCTTTACTGCACACAAGAAAAGCACTAAGTTTCAGATTGTTGTACATAATTGATGTTGCTCAAGCAGAATGAACACTACCTACTAGATCTGAGATCTTCTGTTCCTGTGTCTGGTGTCTGCTCTTTCTTCATTCCTCTGTCTGTCTAGTCAGGTCAAGTCTAAAGCCGTACAGCACAAGGTAGGTCTACTGAAAGTGTAGAGAGTAGTGAGGACTAAGAAGATATGAATGATTAAGGTTCTCATTCCTTTGCAAATGCCCTCTCACATGCTGTCAAATCCTATATTCCTTGGCATGTACAATTCTCCACTGCTACATGAATAGGACACTGTTAGCAGCATAGCAGCTGCAGCCTTCCCAAGACTGTCTCATCTGTGTCCTAGCATGGCAGCAGTTTTGATTAGGCTGAATGGAAAAAGGAGAGACAGGGGGGGGAGGAAGGAAGGGAGGAAGGAAGGAAGGCAAGCAGGCAGGCAGGAAGGAAGGAAGGAAGGAAGAAAGGAAGGGAGGAAGAAAGGAAGGAAGGAAGGCAGGCAGGCAGGAAGGAAGGAAGGGAGGAAGGAAGGAAGGGAAGCAGTGTGAGAGACTGAATAGCTTTATATGTGGGATGTAGTCCTTTTATTGAATCTATCATAGGTAGATAGGGTGATATTCCAACTTCTACAATGATATTCAGCATAAGTGAATTAATTACTAAGACCTAAAATAAGATCAAATGGATTTCCAGGTCAGAAGTGTGAAGGAATTTGTAATACGCATTTGAAACCACCAAAAATCATATTTACCTTTTTGGCTCCTTGAATGTCATGTTAACCTTGGGTAAAAGTTATTTCAACAGTACTGTTTATTTTAATTTTTTGAAGATTATCAATAGTTAGAAATAGGGAAATGGTTTTCTGAATATTCATATGATACAGCAACTTTAAAAATATTTTCTTCATATTAACTTGACCAAAGTAAGTTCTCATAAAATAATGTTCCCATCTCAAGTGACTCACTTGGCAAGTAAGACAAATACACCTGCCAACAAGAATGTACTGAGAGAGGGTATCAAGAGATAGACAGAATTGAAATAAAAGTTGCTCCATAATTTTTATAGAAATAGGAGTAAAAATCTCATTCTTTAAAAATTCCAAAGCTACAAATTCACATAAATTAGTGACTAAGCTCTATTTGATCCTTCCATTTTTCACTGAAGAAAAATTCTACAGTCATCAAAACATATTATAATTGTATTCACTGGAGAAAATAAAGCATATTACCCAAGTGAGGAAACTGTTGGTTTAATTTTCTCCAAACCATACTTTCACATTAGGAAATTAAATGTGTATTGTTCCTCAGAGGTCAAGGTATGTGACATTATAAAAATTAATGCATTTTTCTCACTGAAGATGTTTACAACACTGGTATATAAGCAATTTGAATTTGATGCTATTTCTTCTCTTTTTCATGCCAATTTATTTACTTCACTGTCATTCCTTCATTGAATGAATCATTCATAAAGAATGTAATTAATACTATAGGCACAGAAATGAGAGGAGAAATTGAGACAGTTATTTGATGCATATAGTTATTTCCTTAACTATATTCATGGTATGATATAGGAAGGCCCTTTGCCTACCTATGTGAGTTGGAGAAGGTGGGTCAGGGAAGTGGTCCTTGAAGTGTGGCTGTGGTGCAACATAATGCTTTGTAATCAGTGTGGGAGGTACTCATGAATAGGCAGGAGAGTATATAATGCTGGGGAGAAAGGGTGTGGAAAGACCTGTAGGAGAAATTGTCGCTGGATAAGACTAGGAGGTTTGAGCACAAATGCTTGTCAAAGGAAGTTCTTTGTAAAGGTAGGCATTTTTATTTAGAAAATTATTATTTTGAAGGTCAGAAACATCCAGATCTGGTGGCTAAATGCCTATAATTTCAGTATTGGGAGGTGAGGCTGAGGCAGAAGGATCACAGGTTCACAGCTTTTTTTTTTTAAGCTGCAGAATGAAATCTAGGTCAGTCTGAGAAAACTAGGAAGACATGGTCTGGAACTATCAAATAAAAAGAGGCCCTAGGCCATCGCTCCACATTAGGGTACTTTCTGTCATATCTGAATCCCTTGTTGAGTCCTCCAGGTCACCCTCCACACACAAGTAAACACACATATTCACACACAATTCACACACAAGCACACAAACATACAGAGAGAGAGAGAGAGAGAGAGAGAGAGAGAGAGAGAGAGAGAGAGAATGTTGGAAGTTTTAGCAAAACTTAAGAGCAGTGTTGTATCATGGAGCAGAGCTAGTTCACAGCCTGCCAATATTTTATATTAATGTACAGTCAAATAAAACATAAATCACCTGCTATATTGCAAATTAGACATGTTGGTGCTCCCCTTAGATAAATGAGAGTCACTGTGAAGTAGACAATTTCTTTCCAGGTTATTGTAATAGGCTTATTTATTATGATTAACTCAGATACTTTCTTCACAGGTGTACTTGTCTGCCCTATTTTTCCTATATTCCTTATGCTTTCCTTCCTGGATCCACTCACCAGCTAATAATCTGTATGTAAAAAAGTGTTGACATCTCTTACTTGTTCTGTGGGTATAGCAGTGGATAAAAGTTCTCATGTAGCATAAAATATAGTTGGATAAACAATACAAAATCTATAAATGATATCCACTGACACATGATGGGATAACTTAGGTAACTAAGAAGATGGAATAGAATGCCTGGGCAATATATGATTTTATACAGAGCTCATGGTGGGCTTCGCTCAGGAAGTGACATCTGATTAGAATCTCGAATGAACTGGGTTCTGGAGGCAGAGAGAAGAGCAAGTACCATCACTGATAGAGGATTACCCTTGGCTGGACAGGAGCCACAAGATGGCTACAGTGAGGTAGGTATGGGGAATCACAAAAGCAAGGCCAGACCGACTGGCAGATGTCCCAGGACCTTGAAGGACACTGCATGGAGTCTGGCTCTTAATTTAAGTGAGAATGGTAGCTGTCTAAAACAGAAAAGACTTGAGGTAAAAACTTGTAAAGGTGTGTTGTTTTAAGGACTTACTGTTGTAGAATACTATTTTCAGGTGTGTGATTTTTGTTCATGTTGCATTTGTTTAATTCTGTGGAGCTGTGATTCTTTGCCTGTCTGAAACATCTGATGGTCCTAATAAAGAGCTGAATGGTCAATAGTGTGGCACAAACAAGGATAGGCAGGGCTGGCAAGCAGAGAGTATAAATATGAGGAGAAATCTGGGAGAAAGAGAAGCAACAAGAGAACAAGGAGAGGAAGACATTACAGGCTAGCCACTCAGCCAGTCAAGGAGTAAGACAGAAAGAAAGATACGCTGAAGTAAGAAAGATAAAATCCCAGGGGAAAAGGCAGATGTGATAATTTAGATTAGGAAAAACTGGCAAGAAACAAGCCAATCTAATGCGGGGCACTCATAAATAAAAATAAGCCTCTGTGTGTGATTTATTTGGGAGCTAGGTGGTGCCCCCCAAAAGGTAAAAAACATAAAAAGCATTATACACAACAGATTGGCTGTGTGAGGATGAAGGGCAGAAGTATCCTTGCTATTTACAACAGGAAGGCAATCATGTACAGTTTTGATTAAAGGGTAGGAAAGGAATGAAGGTTGGTTGTTTAGATACTGGAAAAGTACATATGGGAAATGCAGATTTTGAAGTTGTCATTGTAGGCATGATATTTCAGGCCACAAATCTTCATTGGGGTACATAGGCAGGAAATTTCGACAGCAAGACAAACAGATAATAAAATGTGACCCAGGAAGACTTACTCTTTATTGCATGACTTTGATAGAGTCTAAAGGTAAAGTTGATTTCCAATGAACTTTAGATATCACTTGATGTTATAGAATGAAGCATGCTATGGTTGGCTTTAATGTCAACTTGCCACTACTGAGAATCACCTGAGTAGGGAACCTCATAAGTAGCGTCCCGATTGCTTCAATTGATGTGGGATGACCTTCTGGTAGCAGATGAAATTTAAGAAGAGCATGGGAGAAAGAAGGCCATCTTGTCTCGTACTCTTTGGCCTACCTTGTTGCCTTTGACCTGATGATGAGCCTTGCTGCTGCTGCTGCTGACTCCTTAGTTGATTGTAAGACCATTGTTTCCAAACTTTCTTTATGGACTAGTGACTACCCTTGGGCTTCTGTCTGGGACTATGGAGGCACTGTACCTTGTGGAGTGAATAACCCACTTAGTGATGTCACCCACTTAGTGATGAGAGACAGCTACTATGGGTCTCCAACTTGGACTATTGGGGCATTCAGTCACAAGGGCTGGTTTCTCAGCTCTCAGGTGTGATTAATCTGTTGTTACTATTTTAAACTGACTTATTAAAATCTGGTATTAATTTATCACCTTGGTTTTTCCTCCCCTAGACAACCCTAATTAAAATAAAGTATGAATGGGTTTCAGTGAATATTTTTAAGGCTGGAAAGTAGGGTTCTTCATCTCCATAGATTTTTTTTTGCAGGAGAATGTGTTTACTTGTAAACTTGGGACCATGCTGCTCTTGTCTATAGGTAGTCAGTCTCATGGAAAGACATTTCTCAGAATTTCCTCCCCTGGACAGTTCCATGCTAATCTGTCAGCAGGGAACACTAGTTTGAAGTGGAAGGGGAAAAGAGGCCACAGCTGGCTGAAATAGCAGTAGATTAAGATGCAGCCACTGTCCTGATGTTAAAACAATAGGCTACTGAAAGAATACATGTATAAATCTTATAATCACTTGAGAAATGAAAAGAACTTTAAAAACCATATCTAATATTATTTTTTAAATGTGTTTCAGGCCACTGGAGACCATGTTGAGGTCCGTGGCATGTGCTGACACAGAAGACAGTGTGAATGTTCATGATTTGTGTTCTTGCCAGAAACCATGTGGAAGTTCATGATTCATGCTCCTGCTGACACTAAAGGGCAAGGAAGCTACTTTTGTCATGATATTGATGATCTTGGACTCACAGTTACGAAAGAGGGCCATACATAGACAGTTCTCTGACAATGGCCCCCACCCCATCTCTCTCCAAAACATAACAACCTGGACAAAAAGTCACTGAAGGAAGAACATTCTTTACATTTGTGATAAGGATGCTGGCATATAGCTTTCCACAACTGAAGTTTCTGGTAAGGGTTTGGGTGGAGAAGGTCTCAGTTTTAAAGGACTGTCTATTGGGAATTTGACCATGTTCCAGTGAGCATATAGATAAGACAAATTGGACTTTCTTTTTCTGCTGGGGGGCTCACAAAGGAGAGAGGGGTAGACCAGGTAAGACTAAGAAGTGGTTGTGATCAGGATTCATGATATAAAATTCCTAAATAATCAATAAAAATATTATGTAAAGACAGTCTTTGTTTCTCAAGTTAGTACTTTTTATTATGGGAGAACAAAAAAATTTACTCTTAATTTAATTATTTAAGTGAAAAATATTCAAAAACAGTATCTTGAAGACCTATATGTACCACATAAATTGTGAGAAATATATTTAAAAATAAAAGTGAATATGACTAAGACATGCAGATATTTCCATTTGTATTCTCATTACTTAGAATGGTTTTAAAATACAGAGTTCACGTCCTTAATTGGGATCTTGTTCTGGAAGAAATGACTTAGTAAGAAAAGATTTTACTTATCTTAAGCCTTGTCACTTGCACTAAATGAGCAGAATCTAAAACAGTAAAATTTGGAGGAGAAAAATTTTAACAGTTGGGATATAGACAGAGAAAGTTGAAATGAGGTCTCAGTAGGGCTTTTCCCCACCCCTCCACCCATCTAATTAATGTGTGAATTTCTTGGCAGGGCAAGAATTGAATCATGACCTGGATATCCTACGATGGACAGAGTATTTTGCTGTTCCCATAGAAGTTAAATTATCATTCATCATGGTTACTCCAAATTAACATCCTACTGTGAGCTTTATGAAAACAAATGGACTTTTCAGGCCTATTTTAACTTATTAGTTTACAAAGTGATGAAATATAGCATCTATTGTTGAGTTCTCTTATGAAAATTAAAGACATACTTATAAAACCTAGCCCTGGATTTGAATAGTGAGCATCATCTCTGAGTGCAGTTTTTATCTAACACACTTATAGAAGATTTGTATGCAGTCACTGGGATTGATTTAGAAAGAGCTGATGCTAACACTTCTCAAAGATGAAGGACCCAGAATATTCCATGAGGATCAATTGTGTTTGGAAGCAATAAATGTAGAAAAATAGTATCTCAGAGCTCTCCTTACTAACTCAAGCCAGAAATGGTAAATTTCTTCAATTCCTTTTCTGGGGAAGGTTTTGTACTCCTGAGAAGACAAATATTCTATAACAAGATGACCCTATAACAAGATAGCCCTTCCTTTCTCGTCTGTTTACTGTCCCTCAAGTAGTGATTCCCAGAAGCCTTAGAACCTCATTTTCTGCTGTCCCTAATCTGAAATTGTTGACATTTGATAAGAAGGATTGTACACCTAGCTTCTATCCCGCACTGAACTGCTCAGCACTGAGCATCTTAGGAAACCTATTGTTTATTTTTGTTTTTTTCCTTTCCTTCTAATTTTCAGAGTTCCAGGTAAGGAAGCTAAAAAATTAGAGAGGGGTTAGAGAGGGGGGAGATTATTCTTCTTTTTCTTGCAAAAACATTTTGAAACCTGGTGTTCAATGGGATAAAGTCAAAATCCAATCCTACTGAAAGTTAGCCTTCCACCTAAGTAACTACTCTCAATCAGTTCCTTCACTGACAAGGTTGTTGAGCTAATCCTTCATAGATGTTGACACAGGCAGAAATTAGATAGTCAAACAGTACAAGGCAATTTGGGACAACTATGGCCTTTGTAAATTTCTGGTGTTGTGTTTATTTTTAAGAGATCAATGAGATAATAGATTGTTCAGCAATGATGGAAGTGTCTAAAAAAGTTAGTCTTCTAATTGCCTTATTTGGATTGAAGAGAGAGTATATTAAGTAATGTATTTCTAGCTTTTAGGCAATTATAATAATTTATGTAATAACACCTCCCACTTATTAGAAATGCATGGGCTTCTGATCTAGAATACAGAAATGGAAGTTTGTCAATAAATGCATATAAAGTAATTTATGCACTAGTCACACATCTGACATCAGGACTCCATTCATACTTCTCTTAGCATTAGTCCTCTGTACTCAGTTAAATATCTTCACTTGAGTATGGTACACCTTTACTTGATAAGCAGAGCAATAATCTTTCTCTCAGAACAAATTCCTGTAATTTCTTTTTCTTGGTAATATACGATAGCATCCATTCAAGTGTCCATACCAGAGACAAAGAAGACATTTTTGAACATCTTCATTTTTCTCTGCTATCCAATTAGTCACCCCATCCAAAGACAACTGCTTCCTATTTGTTGAATCTGTCCACTTCTTTCAAATCCTCTATTATGATTGTAATCTTATCACCTGAAGTAGCATAATTATAATAATATCCCATTGGGTAGTTCTTACATCAACCTGTACTCCAAATTGTCTTTATGTAAGTACTTCATTGTAATCAGCTTTTGTCTATGTAGGTTTTGCATCTGTAAGTGCAAACCTTTGAGTGGGAAATAGCTGGAATTTGGAAAATGTTCTGAGCATGGGTGGCTTTTCTTTTAATTGTTTTCTGAATAATATATTTTAATAACTCCTCATAGCTCATTAGATGTTACAAATTGTCTGGGAAGGTTTGCAGCATATAGGAAGAGTGGGATAGTTCTGCACAGATACGACACCATTTTATCTGTGAGATGCGAGCACCTGTGAGTATGGTGTTCTGTGAAGGTCATGAAACCAGTCACCATGCATAGCAAAGGATATTATCATTTTTGTTGTTAATCCCAAGAACCATTTGATGATAACCATTTCTTTATTACAAGTGCTTTTGTGAAAAAGTCTTGAATCTCAGAATCATGCAAAAAGACATATATTTTAGACTGACATTTCCTTCTTCATTGAGAGCCAATCCTCACAATTTTCATGACGTCTTAGAGCCTCTCCACATGTTGATGTATATCCCTGAATGTCACCTGGCCCAGATTTGGGTGTCTGGCAGATCCCCACTCATTTTTTTAGGAATTAACAAATACTTTACATTTTCTTTGCAGCCTTGCCTGGCTGTGCAGACTGGCTTGTGTGTTATGTATGGCCCTAGTTATATTGTTAGGAAACATTTATCACAATTACTTTCAGCCTTTCTTTATTTGAAATATCCAGCAGACTGTGAAGTTCTTGTTAGTATTCACACGTTCTGAGCATGTGCCTGTTAATAATGCCTGCCTCTAAAATATGTGAGGAGTATATACGAACAAATGATGGTAGGTGCAATGAAGATGCTATTTTTATTTTGCAGTATACAGATGGTCTATGGGATAATGGTCACCTTGGGCTGTACCTTAGCTTCCTGACTTAATGCTGAGGATCTGTTATCTTAGTAATTTTTATTTGTAGAATCAGAAGAAGGTACATTACTTTTGGGCAAAAAGACCTCAGGTTTCTTGTTGGATATAAAAGTTAAGAACAGGATTCAATCATATACAACAGATCATCCTATGAATGAAAGGTTAAGCAACAGAGGGGGTGTAAGACTCTCTTAAAGCAAGAAGCTTACAAGTAGATAGCCTAGTGTGTCAAAGACATGTGAGCTGATTTTTTTTTCCGGGGGGAGCTTTTTCAAAATGGCAGCTTAAGTTCTGCGGCTTTTAGATGTGTCTTTTGACAGGAAAAAGGGAAATATTCCAGTGTTGAGGGTTACAGGTGCCATTTCATGAATCCACTTACTATCTTAGGTGCCCTATGCTGCTCCCTTATCAACAATGGTATCTGATCAATGGATTTCAGTAGAAGCATTGTTAATGCAAGAATGCTAGCTCATTGCTAAGCAAGAAGAAAACAAAGAATGGTTGCCAGCAAGGCTTGTTTATCTTTGAAAGGCTAAGGAATTTGAGCTCCTTTAATCGTAAACAAAGGCTTAAATCTGTTTCCAGGTGTCTGTGACCATTAATGAAGAGAAATTCTAATAGTGTTCTGTGGTGTGCACTCCCTACAAAAGTTGGATGTAAAATAACAACCTCATTAGCCAAATGATGTGAAATACAAGATACTTGCCAAAGAAACATAAGCTCACAGATGTCTGTGGTTCTCCTAACTCAAATCCACTGACACAGATTATGTAAAATGGGGGGAATCTTAATTTACTAAATGGGATCTGGGTGCCTTATGCCAGGGATTGTGTTGAATTTTCTGCTCTGAAGGGAGAAGCCCAGAGAAATGCTTTCATGAAAATGGTAAATTGGTGACTAGTAGCTAGAGATGGACTGGCCTCAGATTTCTGAACTTCTGATGAAAGGGTTATATTAGGTCATAGTGGAAAGAGTCACTTGTTTTCCTCTGATGATGTAACTATTTCCAACAATTGCACATTAGCCTAGTCAACCCCATATGTCAAATGCTCTGGGAACCCAATAAAATGAGAGTTGTTCTTCACTTCAGATATTAGAAAACAGTCATGTATTTCTGTGGAGTGTGTGTGAGTGTGTGTGTGTGTGTTTGTGTGATAGTGAACAATGAAGAAGTGTTACAAGATGTTAGGTTTCCATCTATGGAACATGAGGGCAATAAACTTATTCATAGCAGAATGGCAAGTGTTGGCTTTTTCTCTTTGCTGTGGTTACTTCAAGTTCTAGAAACCCTGGAATATTATTTTCTGATGTAATGATCACAAAAAGCAGAGAAGTTATTGTACCTGTCTAAGGATCATCAAAAAAAATTCTGACCTGTGTTTGTAAGGTTTTTCATTAAAATGCATTGTGGCTTTAATCTAATGCCAAATTTTTGGGATATTTGTTTTTCTCATACAATTGGAATTCAACTTTCTATTTCTGTATATTTTATTTCTGAAACTATCACATTGTAGTGCATTGTTATTTCCCAGAAATATTTTTCTCACTGCCTCTTTTCTCTAATCCTTGTGTCTTACCCTTTTCAAAATGGTTTTTATTTTTTGTCACTTATTTTATCTTCTAAGTTCCCAGAGGATGATTTCCTGTGTTTCTTGGTTTGAGTAGCAGGGAGGCATATTTTACAGAGTAGAATATTATTTCAAAGTTTTTTTCTGAGTAAAGTTTAAACAATATATTTCAGAAATATATCAATTCATATATAAACATCAATGTGATATGTACATACAACAACAACAAAAATGCAAAGCAAAATTTTCATGTGGGATTTTGCATACAGTTAGAAGAATACTAAGAAACTTTAGGTAACTACTAAAGTTAGACTTATTTCTGGCTGCCTTCTTCTCTACAGTACACAACTGTAATATATGGATATATTATTTAACTTAAACTAAATGCCCTGTCCTCTGGTTTATAAATATGATCTCAAGTTAAAAATCATCCCAAGGTTTTAACTTTTGTGACAGACATGGCTGTGAAAGGGCCTACATGGGACCAAACAAAAATCAAAGCTACCCCAAAAGAAAAGAAGAAATGCACAAAATTTCTAAACTCTTAGGAAACATCACCTTTTTTTTCTTAATGTATGTGAACTAAGATGAAAACACGCTAGAACACCAGATGTCCTAGGTAGGATTAGAAGTTTAGATGCTATTCTAAGAATTCCACCTTTTTCAACTAGCAAGAACCCCCAAACTTGGTGTAGACCATAGTCTGGGATATCTGGTAGTCTGCATTTTTGAATGTTACAATTTTATATGAGGATGCAGCATTAGGAAGAACATTGAAAAAAATTAGTCCAACATTGTGAAGAGTCATAGCAATAAAAACATAATTTAAGGCATAAAATAAGCAGGGAAACTAAAACACAAAAGTCTTAAGGAATTCTTGGAACTGTTGACAGCTATGTGACAATGACAGAGAGAGGCAGATCATTTGCTGCATTGTAACAAGCCTTGAGGGAGGTTGGGAGTAGGACTGTATCTGTATTTTTGTGTATTAATGAGAATGTAGAAAGAATTTTTACTCAGATATTTTAATGAAGTTGAATTAAGTGAGCTAATAATGAGAGGTTATAATCTACTCTTCAAATCATTTCTTTAGAAAAAGCATTCAGTGACAAGTCAAAAAGCTGCACAGGAAATAAGAAGTCATT